AGAAGGCTAATGAGGCAGCGTCAGCGCGCAAACAGCGTAAAAAAAGGCGTATACAGCAGTGTAGGATCTTAACAAAGGGAGCTAGAGAGGATATACTCGCTCAACGTGAGGCTGATCAGCAGATTGCTTGTGAAGAGCGTCAAGGAGGAGAGCAATTAGGCCGCAGCCGCCAGGCACTCGCGCGCTGCAAGAGATGCAGAGAGACTGGACACAACTCGCGTACGTGCAAAAAAGATACTTTAGATAACGTACTCCACAAGCGAGCTGGCCACCCAAGCGAGCTGGCCACTTTTGCCAAGACCACACCGAACTTCACTCTCCCTGTAATGCCTCAACGCAACAACGTAAAAAAGCCTTTAAATGAAACACATATACAGCTTGCCCTCCAGGCTATCCAGCAAGACGCGACACTAAGCGTGCGACGCGCTGCAGCAATATACCAGGTCTCTTAAAGCACCCTAGGCACGCGCCTTACTAGAACCTCTTCACGACGCGATTGCAAGCCCAACATAATAAGGATGACTAGTACTGAGGAGGAGGTGATTGTCTAGCATGTATTGAAGCTAGACGAGCGAGGATACCCACCCCAGCTTGCTAATGTGGAGGATATGGCCAATTCTCTGCTTGCTGAGCGCCACCAGCCCTACGTTGGCAAGAACTAGGCTGCCAACTTTGTAAAATGTTGGCCAGAGCTTAAAGTCAAATTTAATTGCAAGTATAACTATAAGAGAGCTCTGTGTGAGGATCCTAAGGTAATTAGGGACTAGTTCTAACTAGTAGAGAATACTAAAGCTAAGTATAGTATAACGTACTCCACAAGCGAGCCGCTCACCCAAGCGAGCCGCTCACTTTTGCCAAGACCACACCCAACTTCACACAACTTACAACACTATAGTAGCAACTTAGGTCCTACTGCAGGCTATAGTACACTAAATTATTTAGAAATACCTTACACGTTATTCTTGCACGTTCGCGCATTGTGCCCTGTCTTACCACACTTGCTACAGCGTTGTGAAGACTGTGTACTTGGTTGAACGCGCCTCCTCTTGCTTGCCTTCTTCCTATCGCCACGGGCTTCAAACTCCTTTAGGGTAGTTAAGCGCACACCTTCACTAACAGTGAGAGCCCCCTCCTTTTGGATCCGCTTCCTCTTGTGTAATTTACAGCGTGTGGCGGCCTTATTGGCAGCTTGAAGCTCTGCGACCTGGTTGCGCACTAAAACCAGTGAATGCGCCATCATCTCTGCGCCTTTAGTGAGCTAATTAAGGGCATCAACTATTAAAGTTGGTAAGCTATCCCTATGTCGCTAGATCCTCTCTTGAATTAGCTTTGATTGCGACCTAAATTCTAGGGTGTTCTGTAGGGTTTGAGAGTGCCACGTACTCTCATCCACAGTAGGTAGTGGTGGAGTACACAGGCGCACTTCAAGCTTTAATATTACAGCCTCTAGATTAAAGGGGACCAAGCCAGCACCTCTGAATCCTCCCTAGATATTGCTCCTAGTAATAGAGGCATCAAAAGCTCCTTTAAAGCATGGTAAGAACTTGAGTTTTGTGATGCAAGTAATCTTGTTGCGCATCAGCAGCTCAGCTTGGCGACCATAGGCCTTCTTCATTGGGGCAAAACAACCCACGTCAAGTGGCTGCAATAGGTGCGACGAGTGAGGAGGCATACACAGAGTGATGATCTTGTGTTCCTCACAGTACTGGTGGAACTTGACTGAGTTGTGGCTCTCATGGCCGTCCAGAATGAGCAGCCGATGGCTGCTAACAGTGCGCTCCTTTGTGTGCTCATCAAAGTGCTTCAGCCACTTGATGCCAAGCTTATTGTTGGTCTAGCCGTTCTTAGAGACAGTAATGACCCAGTTGTGAGGTATAGATAGCTCCTTGTACCAAGCAGAGAGGTGGTGCTTGCCTTAGAAGATAACAAAAGGTGGGATACTCCACCCTAACGCGTTGATGCCCTGGATAATGCTGGTCCACTCTCAGTCGCCCTGCTGTACTGTCTTTGGCCTTCCTCAACGCTCAGAGCCTGTGACAACAGCTCCTGTTGATATGACGCCCATCATGAACCTAGACTCATCAAAGTTGTAGGTGTCTTCATCCAGGATACCATACTTAGCTTTAGTATTCTCTACTAGGTGGAACCAGCCCTAGATCACCTTAGGATCCTCGCAGAGGGCTCTCTTGTAGTCGTACTTTCGATTAAACTTGACTGTAAGCTCTAGGCGACGCTTAACAAAGTTGGCAGCCCAGTTCTTGCCAACAGGAGGCTGGTGGCGCTCAGTGAGTAGAGAGTTGGCCATATCCTCCACATCAGTGAGCTGGGGTGGATATCCTCGTTTATCCAGCTTCAATATATGCTGAACAATCACATCCTCCTCAGTGCTTGTGAGCTTCATTGAATTGACCTTGCAGTCGCGTCGTGGAGAGGCTCCAGCCAGTCGGTCACTAAGAGTCCTTTGAGGCACTCTGTAGATCTTTGCAGCGCGTCGCTGGGAGAGTGTTGCGTCGCGTTTGATAGCCTCAATAGCAAGCTGAATATCTGCTTCATTTGAGGGCTTTTTCGCGTTCTTGTGTTGAACCATTACAAGTTGTGTGAAGTTGGGTGTGGTCTTGGGAAAAGTGAGCGGCTCGCTTGGGTGAGCGGCTCGCTTGTGGAGTACGTTACAAGATAAAGACACCTACAACTTTAACAAGTCTAGCTTTATAATAGGCGTTATATTAACAGGAGCTGTTGTCACAGGCTCTAAGCGTTAAGGGAGACTAAAGGCAGTGCAGCAGGGCGACTAAGAGTGGACTAGTATCATCCAAGGCATCTGCGCGAAGGGCTGGTCTATCCCACCCTTTATTATCTTCTCTAGCAAGCACCACCTCTCTGCCTAGTATAAGGAGCCTAGTATACCTAATAACTAGGTTCTTAATGTCTCTAACAACAGCTAGACTAACAACAAGCTTAGAGTTAAGTGGTTGAAGCACTTTAATGAGCACACAAAGGCGCGCACTGTTAGCAGCCATCAGCTGCTTATTCTAGACAGCCACGAGAGCCACAACTCAGTTAAATTCTACTAGTACTGCGAGGAACACAAGATTATTACCCTGTGTATGCCTCCACACTCGTCGCACCTACTGCAGCCACTTGACGTAGGCTGTTTTGCCCCATTAAAGAAGGCCTATAGCCGCCAAGCCAAGCGGCTGATGCGCAGCAAGATTACTCGCATCACCAAACTTGAGTTCTTGCTGTGCTTCAAAGCGGCTTTTAACGCCTCAATCACAGAGAGCAACATCTAGGGGGGATTCAGAGGTGCTAGCCTAGTCCTACTTAACCTAGAGGCTGTGCTATTAAAGCTTGAAGTACAGCTGCGCACGCTAACGCCACCTACTGTGGACAACAGTACGTAGGAGTCTAAAACACTAAGCAACACCCTAGAATTTAGGTCTTAATTAAAGCTGATTTAAGAGAGGATTTAGAGACACACTAATAGCTTGCCAACGTCTATAGTTAATGCTCTTAATTAGCTCACTAAAGGCGCAGAGCTAATAGCGCATTCACTAGTTTTAGTGCGCAACTAGGTTGCTGACCTACAGGCAGCCAACAAGGCTGCCACACGTCGTAAATTATACAAAAGGAAGCAATTACAGCGAGAGGGGACTCTAGTCTTTGCTAAGGGAGTGCAGCTAACTACTCTAAAGGAGTTTAAGGCCTGTAGTAATGGGAAGAAGGCAAAGAAGAGGTCGCGTGTTGATAGGAGCACTCAGTCTCTAAGGCGCTGTAGCACATGTAGCAAGACAGGGCACAACGCGCAAACATGCAGTAAAGATACACAGAGTACTACAGACTAGTTTAGTATACTGTGTAGTATAATATATTATAGTTGTGTGCTGTAATGTTGCAAAGTAGGTGCAGTATTGGTGTGGTCTTGGCAAAAGTGGCCAGCTCGCTTGGGTGGCCAGCTCGCTTGTGGAGTACGTTACTGCTTAATTTACTCTATAAATATCTAAACATTACATTATCACGTTGTTGAGATATATGATTGTAAAGGTGCGCAAAGTTGGTTGGGTGGCTCACTCGCTTCGATGGCTCACTCGCTTAGTATTTACGTTAGACAATAATAGGTAAACTACCTTACTACAACTTAATGATCCTGCTGCACAACTAGTACAACTAGACAACCTAGATTAACTAGATCTAAGCCTGCGTGGCAGTCTACAACATCTAGAACAACCTTGATCTAGAACATCTAGTACTATTTCTAGTAGAGCCAACGCTCCCAGAAGCTCCAGAACCATCTAGATACCATGCAGCAGCTGGCGTCCAGGAGGCCTCTCGTCCTTTAGAGCTATCAGCTCAGGGCCAGAAGGCTTACAAAGAAGACATGGAGTATTACAAAACACTTACAAAGAGATACAAGCTCACCTATTGCAAATATAAGATTAAATAGAAGAGTATCTAGCATTTAACTGCGCTAATACAATTAACACTAGCACCACATCTACAACACACCTGCTGCCTCCCTAGCCTGTTAATTCACTAGTAGATTACTATCCTTAAGGACACCACAGGTGTTAATAATAACCTACATCGGGAAAAGTTTTTCTGTTGTCGAAATCAGGAAATTGTGGCATTGTACTGTGGGCAACAGTAGGACTTGTAGGCCTACAACAGTTATTTAATGTGCATTTAATGTCTAGCTAATTTTAAGCTAACAGCTCTAACAGTCCTAACAGCTGCAATAGCTACAACAACTCCTAATCCTGCTATAATAGTAGCTCTACTTAATAAACTATACTTTTATTATATTAATATACTACTAAGTCTCCTCTTTAAAATAAGCTATTAAATAATATTATAGGCCTAGTAATAGAATAGTTATTAAGTGTAGAAGGTTTTAAGCTTAATGTTCCTTGCTAAGACACTAAGTTAAGATTCTTCGCTAGGGCTCTAGTAGCCTGAATGTTAGAAAATATAAGAATATTATTCAAGAATAGTAGGTAAACCAAGAATTCTACGCCTAGGCCTGCCTGTTCTGCAAGCTCCTGTTGCGCTGCTGCTGTGTGTGTGTGTGTGTGTGTGTGTGTGTGTGCTGGTCAGCAGGTGCTATGCTGTATGCTGTTGCAGCTGCAACGTTGTGTGCGGGCGCAGCTGCAGCTGCTATGGTGTGCTGTCGCAACTTCAAAACACTAACCTTCAACAAACAAACCTTCAACGCTCTATAACTCGCGTTGTAGTAGGCCTACAACAATAATTTTTTGCTTATTTTAAAGCTACAATTTCGCTCTATCTGTACGTGAAATTTCACAATTTTTAAATATTTAATACTAGTGCTAGCACTAAGGGTAGCTATGTAACGACATTGCAACGTTATTTTAAGTTTGTTAAATATAGGCACTTAGCGTTTTGGCTGTTGGCAACATTAGCGCGAAATTAGGGCTGTTAGGCGCAAATTGGGGCTGTTGGGGCCGTTGAACGGCCGTTGCACGACCATGCCACGACTGTCAGCAACAGCCAGTCTAGGCCGGATTTCGAAAAACTTTTCCCGATGTAGAGAGCAAATATGCACAAGTAGAATCCTACACTGCCCTTAAACCTCTTATAAGACTATTAGCATAGGATATATAGCTAGCAGAATATAACCAAGCTGCCACAGAAGCAGAGACATACTGTGTGGCTAACGTTACTTAGATTACGGCTGTCACATAAGACTTCTAATCAGCTGTGCAGAAGGCAGCGCCTATATAGTTAGCGTTGTTTTAAGCAATGCGCTATGAAGCCAGTATAACAAGGAAGGAGATAATAAAACGTTTCTAAGAATACATAATAACAACTTATCCCCTTAGGCTAAAGCAAAATAATGCTGCCTTTGTAATAGATAACACTTTATATCTTGCTAATAGTGGTACAACCACCTAGGGTAATAGGAGGGACGCTTCTATTGCAGAAAACGTGCTATCTAGACAAGGAAAACCTCGCAATTAACCTAGCAAGAACCCCAGGAAGCGCGCACAAGAAGATAGGCCTGCTTAAGGAGGAGCTAAGTGCCCTGCTTGTAATTAACGCTACAGCATTAATAACTGCTAGCATATCAACACTAAACAAGCACTAGATTAGTAGAAAGCAAACAAGCATGTTGAAGCTCTTGTAGAGGTTAAGAAGAAGCATAACACCACCTTAATTAGCGCACTAAGAGGCCAGAGCTGAGCTCGCTCTTAATCACTTTATATCAAGAAGTTACACACACTAACTCTAATAATCTAAGAGCTTGAGGAAGAACAATAACTTAAGGACAGGAAGGTTATCACTATTAGCGCTAATCTCTACGCAGCTTTCTAAGCTAGCTTAAGCTATAATTACCTGCTAAGGCATTCCTTTATCTTAGACTTAGGCATAACCTGTTACATTACTAACACACTACAATATATACACTACTTTAGGCTATGTATATAAGGAGACTTTATCTAGGCAGGAAATACAAAGGTGTAGGTAACAGGATATAGCTTAATTACCCTATACCTAAGTAGTAAAGGACAGACAACAAGGATAATACTGCAGGACATAGCTATCTGTCCTAATCTACTCTGCAACCTTGTCTCCTTCCACCTGCTTAGGCAGTCTGGCATCTAGTAGGACACCTAGCTAGAGCCTACCCCCCTCAGGAAATCAGATAGATCGATCATCGCCGAGGTCGCTGAAATCCATGGCCAATGGGTCCTGGAATACAATCTACCTGCGCACGCTATCTTCTTCACACACACTGCTTTCAGCAACAGCAGAATTACCTCACTCTGCAAACCAAACCTCAGTCATATTAAGGTATATAGGTGCAAAGCCTTTGCAATGTCTAATAACACACACTGTGGAAAATCACGCCTCTAACGCTTAGATCTAAAAGCATAGATTAGGTATCTTGTTAGATATAGATCCTCTAACATCTATTGTGTCTAGATACTATCACTAGCTAGGGTAATTAGCACACGCAATGTCATCTTTAATAAGCAAACTATATTTAATAGTAAGACTAAGGACCTGTATAATAACCTTATACACAGTACCCTTAAAGAAATTACTACCTATGTAAGGACGCTAGAACTACTAAGTCTAACTACCTATCTAGAGGCTAAGCTGTTCTATAAGGACAATACAGCTACTAAGACTAACGTACTCTATCACCGAGCTGGTCATATCACCAAACTAGTTACTTAAAATCCCACCAAAAAACACAGAAACCATACCCCTGCATCTTAATAACTACTTAATAGAATCTTCTAAAAACTTCAGAATAGAGCTTTATCTATACTAATAAAACTATTTAAAAGTCTTAGACTAATAGCTAGTATAGATGTTAAGATAGCCTGCAGCTACCCCTGTATTTTAGTATCTTCTAAACAACATCTG